CCCCGGTCTGAAACTGCCGCCAGGCATGAACCCGCTCGACCCGGCCAGAGCGGCTCTCCCGGCGTCTGGCGGCAGCGAGGAGAGGCCGGGGCGGCAGAACTGGAAGGAGGGAGGGGGGGGAAAGGCCGCCCTCTGCCCCTCCCCGCGCAGCCTGGCGGGGTTCCGAAGCCGCAACGCAACGAGGGCAACCCCGGATCTCCTCGGGTGTCTCCAACAGGCGGTTACATAACAAGCCCGACGAAGGCCCTCCTCTTGCCCGCCGAACGGAGCCTTACGGGGAAATCCCGCCACAGCCGAACCGAGCCGGCCGCTCAGCCCTTCGCTCCTTCGGCCAAGCGCCTCTTGTCCCCCGCTCCCCCGCCCCCCCACTGTACCTGTTCGGAGGCGGGTGTTGCCGCCTGGGCCGCGCCGCTCGCGTTATTATTACCCTCAGAAGAGCCGCATCTCTCCCGCTTCCGCAGCAGCAGTTTAAAGAAAGCTGGCGGGCTCCCTAGGCCAGGCCTACTCAGCCGCCCGTCACCGCGCTCGCCCGCTCTCTGCCTGCGCAGCAACCTCCTCTTCCTTCCCCCCCACCCCCACCCCCCGCGATCACTCACCGGCGGCAGGAGGAGGAGGAGGATCAGATGGTGGAGGGACGAGGTCTCGCGAGAGCAAATCACAGCCGTCGCGGGAATTTTCAAATCCTTAACCCTGTTTTCTTGCGGTTGGTTTAAGAAGTGGATGTTCTAGAGAGGGCACCGTAGGAAGTCCTCCGACGCAGTTTCCGCAAAACTACAATTCCCGGCATGCGTTGCTTCGAAGTTCAACGCGCTTTGGCCATGGCAAAAAAAAAAAGTCACACTTGGTTTTCGGAGCGAGGGTGGTAAAAGGCAGTGGTGGTCGATCTGCTGCTGGTGTGTCTTACCCAGCGGTGGGATTCAGCCAATTCGCACCACTTCGGGAGAACCGCTTGTTAACTTTCTGAGCAGTGTACTGAACTGGTTGCTGGAAGAAATCATTAGTGCAGAGAACCGGTTATTAAATTATTTGAATCCCACCACTGGTCTTACCCATAAATGATAACAACAGTGATAAATGCCAAACCCAGTCTGAACATCTGGCTGACTGTGTGATGATCAATAACAACAATAATAGACAATAAATCCAAAAGCCAATAAATTCAATTGTGCTCAAAAGAGGCAGAAAAGAAGGTTCTCCTTATAAACTGTGGCGGTGGATCCCCAGTCAGTCACCAGCATATGACTGACTGGGAAAAGCAAATCTCCCCCCTCTTGGGACTGAATCCTCTCCATGGGAAAATATGCTTTTTCTGTTTCACACCCAGGATAGTAAAATAATACATGTTTCCAGTGTTATCAGTATGTGATTCTTGGAGTAAGCACTGTTCTTATGAAGGGTCTTTGACCCACTGGTCTGGCCAGAGACGCATCATACTTGTCAGAAATATCAGTATTACACTTTTAGGCTGTCTCTGCACTGTTTTGCAGTTTCAAACAGTCTCCCTAAAATCAGATGCATTGGCAAAACAGTGAAAAAAGATTATAAATGGCAACTTGACAACCACAAATGCATTATCCAGGAAGGTAGGGCAAGTAAATTCAATTATACTGAACCAGGAGAGCCAATTAATATTATCTTAAATTATATATACACATATTTCTTGTCTTAAAAATTAGCCCACCCCTGCCAAATGTTATTGGGAGAATGAAATTCTATACATATTGGAGCCTTGAACCATGAAAGTTTTATTCTCTTGTTTAATTGTTCTGTGGCTTTTATATTTTTATTTTGTGTAAACCACGGTGTGATGCAAGATTTGATGTATAACTATAATAAATAAAATTGTATAATAATCTCTACAGAGATTGCACCTTTCTGCCCAAACCAGTTCATACAATACTTGATATTTGATTTTTCTGAATACAATGTAGATTTTTAGTTCAAACATCTGCCCTCTGTGCTAGTCCTCCTCTGCTTAGCAGACAAATAGTTCTGGTGAATTCAAAAGCTTATAGTCTTAAACATGATATCATCTAATAATATATTGTCCTGATATTGTTGTAATGCTTGTAAATTTCATTTCTTGTGTAATGCAATATTCTATTGTGACCTAAAGAAAAAAAGCCTTTATCTTAATATGAAGGCATCTCTGGATACTTCATTGTCATTTTAATGAGTATACAATAAAAGCAACTCAGAGGAGAGTAAGAATCAACTGAGGAAATAACATTTAAGCAGCACTGAGGAAATAACAGTAAATAGCCCCTGGAGGCAAGTGATGGGACAGCATGGAGACACATCATTTGAGCTATTGCTGAACATGGGTCTATTGGTCTTCTGAAAGTCTGGCAGACCTGTGTCGAAAAATAGCTCAGCTCAATGGGGTGAAGGAGGAGTGTCGAGTATGCTGGAGGGAACTCTACAGACTTAGTAGATCATGCAGTGCATTGAAGCTGTGGAAATCCCCCCCCCACCTGAGAATGAAATATTTTGAAGAATATTAAAAGAGGCAGAATATTATATTCGTCCAAAGGAGAAATGGAGAAAAAATCTTAATAAAAACAGAAAGCAGCCCCAGTCTTCCTGCCATAGGAAAACAGTTTCAAACTAAGAGGTTTGAAGAGCCTGACCTTTAGGAATGCAAATTTTGTATCCATTCAGAAAGACTAGGCCAGTCTATTCATAAACAAAACGCCTTCAACCATAGCTCATACCTAAGGCTGGAACTGATGGGATTGAGAATTTATATTCACCCACCCAAATTTAGGATATAATCGGATTAACCCACCACCATTGAAATAGTAAGACACAAGGCTCACTACATTGCACAACCCGCTGGAGCATCTCAATTACAAAACCCCAGAACCCTATAAAGATCCATCCACTTACTCAGCCATTTTGTCCGCCATCCCAGAAACATGCTGCTATCACTAAAGTTTCTGGCATCTAAATAAACAGAGACCTTCTTTCCAACCAGCCAGCCTCCATTTTATTTCCAGCCTTTTTTTCCTGGCTTGGAACCAGATCGGATTTTTCTTCCTACAAAGCTTTACACTTCATTGTGGTTGATCCACTCCTACATTTCTCACCAAGTAGGAAATAACATGACCATGACTATACTTTCTGGCTTGAAAGAGGCAAGACTAGTTTCACACCTTTGGCTTCTGTTTGCATGTATGTCCACGTGTACACACACACACACTCTACCAGTGTACTGACCTTATGGATGTCTCATTATCATCAAAATCCATCAATCCCCAAAGAAAAACTTTTGGTCCCCATTGTATATTAATCATTAAAATCTTCTGAGTTAGTGTATGTATTTGAATTTTCTAGCCTTTTTACAGACCCACCAAACATGATAAAATGTCCCTTCTTGTTCACATTTACAACATAAATTTGAAGTGTGCTAATGGTACATCATTTTATTAAAAAAAACATTCTTCAAGATGATAGTGTAAATTTCATTACTTTCAGTGCATATTTTCCCATTCTTCCATCGGTATGTTATCTCTCCTTTGCCTGACCCTTTCCTGTTGCCGGTGCAATCATGATTGCTTTCGATGTGTAGAAAAGCAAACTGCTTACTCTCTTGAAATCCCTCTCTAATTTCTTTGCTCTGGGCAGAGGGGAGGGAATACACTTACTGACTGTAATGGTGATCATGTCATTGAGGGATGCTGCAAAGATTGAAAATGGGCTGTGAAGTTATTTTTTAATTCCCCCCCCCAGCATTGTTCTAACTTCAACCAGTCACTGAACAAAGAGTTGATAAGTGAGGACTACCTGTATACCAGTCTTTCTGTCATTTGAGATATAAGAGGAAACTGGTCAATTTTACCCAGCTCCCTAATATCCCAATCAAAAAATGCTGCATGAAAATAGCAATTCACTGCCAAAATTGCTTCCTTTCAAAGTAATAAAAATAGTAGAAAGCACTGCTGTGTAAAAAAACCCATATCAGCAGAAAACCTTTAGCACGCTGATGGGAAGCAGAATCATCAATACATCTTTTCTCCTATTCAACAGAACTGGCTGATCTACCCCCTGCTTTAAAAAAACCAAACAGTTTTACTGGACTTTTGAAGACCATTGTTTAGTAACAAGTCTAGTGGGATTTTTTCTTATCTCATGTCCATAATTGATTTGCTTATTTCTAATTCCTGAATGTGGAATGTGGAATTATTTCTGAATGTGCATACTATCTTTCACATTGTGGAGAGGATAAAGAGGATGGACTTGAAGGACACAGGGAAGCTCCACTACCAAGATAATAATCAGATAAATAAGGATCAAAATCATGCCAAGAATGAGATTTACAAAAATGCCTTGGACAGCATCCTCTATTCATATGAAAATAATATAGTTTTTCTAATAAAAGTAACTTTTGGCCTACACATTATCTGTTTCATAGTTCAGTCTACCTTTACATGGATGACAGAGTGGAAAGAAATAATATGACAGCTATCTATCTATCTATATACTGTATACACGCATGGAATTTTATCACATATTTCTGAGAGCACATTTTTGAGATCTGTCAAAACAGACTTCTCTCAAGCATAGAGATCAACAATGAAGAGAATCAATCAGCTGAAATCCAAAAGCAGAACATTCCCCCACCACCCCTGCTCCAATCTTTTAAAATCTTACATTGCAGAAGTTTATGTTCAGGAAAAAAAGTGTGTTAGAAACTGAGATCTTAGAGAAGCAACTAAAAAAAGTTAACATTCCCCTACTAAGGTTTCAGTGGTGTGGGTATCCTTTTTCTGGGACTTTGTTTTGCAAAGGTGGAATGGATTATCCAGTTGAATGGATGAATGAATGAATGAATGAATGAATGAATGAATGAATGAATGATGAAGTCAGCCAGTTTATTAAATAAAGAAATCACTTTATTTAAATAAAAAACAAAACAAACAAAACAAAACAAAACAATACAATACAATACAATACAATACAATACAATACAATACAATACAATACAGCCAATTGCATTCCTTAGTGAAAGGAGAAATCTATGAGAACTGCATGATGGACAAGACTGATACAGGTGATGGATGGAGGCAATGTCAAAAGGGAGGGATATGTTATCTCTTTGACGTCTCCTGTTTGTGCAAAACTTCTTAGGTCTATCAGCAAGCAACATTTTATTTAGAATAGAATAGAATAGAATAGAATAGAATAGAATAGAATAGAATAGAATAGAATAGAATAGAATATTTATTGTCACTTGAAATGTACACTAATCAGCATATATTAAAATGAAATTTTGTTGCATTCAGCTCTCAAAACATAACCAATATACATATACCCACACACACACACACGACACAGAGAAACATCACAGTCTAGTTTGGATGTATACATACACATAGCGCTTATAAGCAGTATCCTGAATAATGGGAAGTGAGTTTCCTATAATCATCTTAGCTGTCCTTACCACTCTCTGTATGGACTTTCTATCTGAGGTACTACTACCACCAAACCAAACAGTGATGCAGTGCTTCTGTAAAAAGTGGCCTGTTATACTGTAAAACTGCAACGTAATACTGTTGACCACCTCAACAGCTACAGTTTTGATACAAAGTGGGTATAACTATGCCGGCTCTTTCTAAAATCAACAATGATCTCCTCTGTTTTATTAACATTCAAAACCAGGTTATTTTTATTGTACGAGCCCACCAAAGCCTTCACCTCCTCCCTATAAGAATCTTCATTGTCATCCCGGATAAGCCCCACCGCTGTCAGGTCATCCACATACTTCACAATATGATTCACAGCAGACTTGGCACAACTGTCATGGGTCATCAAGGTGAACAGTAATGGACTCAAGACACAGCCCTGTGGGGAACCCATACTCAACTTTTCTTTCAATTTGCACAAACTGGAGCTATCAATACGAAATCAAGTATCCAGCTACATAAAGAAGTATATTTGTTCACTAGTTTCTTGCAGAAGAAGTTAGAAATTCTGGGAGTTGAAATCTTCATACCATAAAGTTGTCAAGTTTGAAAAACACTGCTGTAGAACCAGTAATTGCTTGCAAAAGATTACATAAAACTAAAGGTTACAAGAAAACAGCTGGAATTTATTATTTAAAGAATAAACTGTACTGTCCAACCTTATTGGTTAGCACCCGCATAATAGTATTCAGTTCATTTGGAAGCAAGCTAACAGGAGAATCATGCAAACACACTACAGAATCTAAGGACATGGATCAGCTGTTTTGGACATAGAGAAGATGCTGGGTTTTGTCATCTCTGCTATTCCTTACCTTTTAGTCAACTGATCTATGGAGCCAGAGCTGTTGTATGCAGTACTGTATATACCCAGAAATTTAGGTGTCTCTTGAGAAGCATAGAAATTTTGCTGTTAGGGGCACTGAACAGCTCATTTTCCCCCCCTTGTTGGCAGTTTGAGACTACTTGACCAAGTGGCAACAGTTGATCTTTCTTGTCTGGACTCTGAAACAGCTAAGTCAAAACTGGATGTGTGGAAACTACTCAGAAAATCCAGGGCTAATTTAAAAAAGTACAAGAAAACAAGAAAGTGCAATGAAGAACCATTTCTGTGCTATGGATCCATTCAGTCACCAAATATTAGGCTTTTAACACAAAATACCTATCTGGATAAGAAGATGGGAGATGGATTCCTATTTCTTGATTTGACAGGTAAAAGTAAATAGAATTTTTTTAAAGTGATAGGATGCTTCGTGTAGTGTTTTTTAAAAATAATTTTTAAAGTTTTACAAAGCACATAAAACTAATAAAGAGCAGAAGAAAGAAAAAAGAAAGAGAAAAACAAAGAGAAAAAAGTGCAGAAAGAAAGAAAAAGAGAAAGAAAGAAAGAAAGAAAGCAAAGCAAAAGTGCAGAAATAAAGAAAGAATAAAAAACAGAAGAAGCTTCCAATTTTCTTTGCAGGAAATATAAATACATGTACAATATTCATTTTTATTCTATTATTACAACCATCCCTTTTTTCTTTTATCCCTTTTTTTCCTAATCATCAAAACCACAAATCACAAGCACATTTTTCTGTTTCACGCAAAAGGTCTGATTTTTATTTGATGTCATATTCAGCTCAAGGATCACACTTATAGAAAACACTATTACCTGTTAAATTACATTTTTGATGATAATTATATACAACCATAACTCATTTGAAGAAATACCAAAAGATGAAACTGAGTATCACTTTTTATGGAATGTTTTCTTTGTCTTTATGAGAAAGAACACCAAAATAGAGCAATAAGCTTACAGCTAACAAGCCCTTTTCCCCCCTTAACTGAATTTTTCTTAATTTTCACTGCTTTCTGTGAAAAGTAGATAGTGATAACAGTCCAATTTCCCAGACAAGCAGCACTAGTTGCCAACCTGTGAAATGCAGGTAGGGGAACATTAGTTGATGAATATTCTTCATGCTCTTAAGAGCCAAAAGGATTCTATTATACAAAATGAAATTATTCAAGGGACTTTAATATATTATATTTAATAATAATAAAACATTTATGTAAACAATAAAGAACACATAACACCCATCCATTCTGATAACTGTTCTTCAAAATATAAAAGGAATCAAAGCTTTTCTTGATCTTGGATAGGCTGTGAATGTCTTATGATAATACCTGTAAGAAAACATACACAAACATGAAGATATGTACCATAAATTATAATCCTGCTTTAAGAAGGTAGAATCTCATTTCTCAAATCTCTTCTGGTATATGGCTCTTCAAAAATGGGTCATAAATGGACCCAAAGTTTCAAAGAGTATTAACATTTAAATGATAAATGAAAAGTTAATCTTATGTCCTTCTTTCTAACAAAATTCAATATTTTACTGCACTTATTTAATTGTTATAAATATTTGGTAATTTGTAATGAAAAATTTATAGAATACTACAAAAACTACATGTGACTTTTATATATAAGTTTCCTTTCACTTGTAAGCCACTTGAGAAAGAGTCAATATTTCTGGAAGACAAGATTTAAACATTTGGTGTCTTCCAGCAGAGTTGGACTTCAACTGATATTATTTGTAGAGAACTCCTGTTATCTTTGAATAGCGACTAGCTGGTAAATGTTGATCATCATCTGTCAGAAATCTATATTCAGCATTATTTATCCACCATGAGAAAAGTTCAAGAATAAAACAGTGGAAGAGTTGCCACAGGTAGTCCTCAACGTACGAACACGATGAAACTCAAAATTTCTATTGCTAAGCAAGGCAGTGGTTAACTGAGTCATGGCCCATTTTACAACCATTGATTTTGCATGTCAGAACTTCCTAGGAAGGTTGTGAATGACAATCCCAGGATCCTGGGCTGTTGCTGCAACCATCATAAATACATGCCAGTTGCCAAGCATCCAAAGTCTGATCACATGATTATGAGGATGCTGCAACAGTTATAATTGTGGGAACTGGTCATAAGAAACCTTTTTCAGGGCTGTTATAACTTTGAATGGTCATTAAATAAATGGTTGTAAATTAAGGGCTACCTGTATTTCAAGGTATTTTCTACATGGTTTTTATGCTTGGCTAAATGAAACTTAAGTAACAGAATAAAGAGTTATATAAAATAGAACAAAAAGTTATGTTCCTTGTGAAAGTTTACAAAAGCCTCAGCTTTAAGGATAATGTGAAAAGAATGTTCTTATTCTAATTTTCTAAGTTGTCTATTCAGTGTGGCTCTTACAGAAAGCATTGTGTATATTTATATGACTAGTAACATATCCGATTCAGCATTTGAAGTTTCAGGGCCAAAGTAAAACAGACAATAGAAATGCTGTGTGCTAGGTCCAATAAATTACATAAGTGAAGCAGATCTGTGTGGAAACAAAGAAAACAAGGGTAGATGGAAAAATCTATGCTTCAGCAGTTTCTAATCCACTTGTAGACGGTCACAATTAGATAAATCCATTGATTATCTTATGTGGTTTGATAATAAGGCAGGTAGCTACAAAATTCCTATCCAGAAACACACACATTTCCATAGACCTGCTGTCTGACTTTTAGAATAAAATATACAGAGACACACATGTTCTCATGTGCCTTGTGCTATAGGCAGCTCACACTTAGAGTTCCTAAAAGGGAGGAGAACAGACAAATTTCCCCAGGGCCACAGTGCTCATCCAAACAGAACTATAATCCACAGCTGCACATGTCATTTTAAGGGCTGACAGGAGATTATTTTAGCACACTAGAGTCAATTTGGATCAGAGGCAGAATATTAATATTTCAAATAAATGGGCATCTTCTTACTTATCTTTTACTGTTTTATCTATTTTGACAATTCTGGAAGACAAATATTTGAGCAAGATAGATTGAAGCATAACTGCACATTGCTTGCTAATAACGCAATGTTAGTTTTGTGAGGGAGAAGGGAATTTTAGTGAAAAGTGGCATCAAAGCAGTTTGCAATACAATAAAAATAGAACGGCAGTGTGGCAGAGAATGTGCATAATCTGTTTCCCAGAACAAACATACACACCATCACAATGTATGTCTAGAAAAGGAAAAAGAGCACAAGCAAAATGAAAGCAAAATGGTAGCAAAATGAAAAGGGATGCAACTGCTTTAAGAATTGCTTTAGTTTAGGGTACCCATTTTTCAGATGAGCAGAAGCCTGAAAAACAAAACTGGGTTGCTTTAATAAAGAGCAGAGAGGCATCACATTCATGAATAGTTTGAAGCACTTATTCTGAAGCTTTCACAGTTCTGATCAAGTGGCCCTTTAATTTACTTTAGGTTACTTATTTATTTATATATAAATAAATTTATATAAATTTAGACACTACCCGTCTCACTCATAGAGCGATTCCAGCTTGATATAGAAAGGCTCATATATATTATTTCCTGCTTCTGAGCAATATTATTAACTAGAATGTTGTCAGATACCATATTGTATAATTTATACAGTAAAAATACCTATGATGATGATAAGCACGTGGTCCAACGCAGGAGAGTGTAAAAAATGCAAAGGCTAAAGCTGGTAGAGACCAGGATGCTATAGCATAGCCGAACCATTCCAGGATTTCCCCAAAGAAATTTGCTCCTGAGACGTATGCAAACAATCCTCCTGCACAGAAGAGATTCATTTAAATACTCTTGAGAAACAGCAGCTAATTATTAGCATTATTATTATTTGTTTATGGTTCCCTTGAAGAATTATATCAAAACTAAGTGCTCATATAAAAAGTTGGACAACACACATTGTTTAATACAAGGGTGTCAAACTGGTGGCCTGCGGGCCGGCTATATTATGCACAGGCCACGCCCACCCCAGCTCCACAAATGGGAAAAACATCGTGAAACATCATGGGATGGCAACGTGATGCCGTGGGTTTGATACCCGTGATGTAAGAAAACTATTTCCATTGCATTTTAAGCACACCAAAGAGGCTAAATAAATGGTGACTAGCAGGAAACAGGGCTGATAGGCCAAAGTAAGTGTGATCTCTTCCAGTTCTTCATTCTGGTATCTGATCAAGACTTTCTCAGAGAATCTCATTAACTGTGTTAATGAACAAAAGGCCAATTAAATGATTTCACATTTCCAGCTAGTGTCTTCTTTATCATACCCTAAGGATAGGCTCTTGTGATACAAGGAAGGTTTTCAGAGTTATCCTATATTTCATGAAGTGTGGAAGGAAAATTATTATACCTTGTGGAATTTTGTAAGTGAACTCTCCAGGCTTTCTTAACTGACGTAGAAGAAAATCACTGTGGATATTGATTCCCATGCCAGACAAAAACAGCAAAAGACCTAAAGAAAAAAATATTTATGAGTTGAATAGTACAAATATTTGATTTTCAGACTTTATTCAGACAAATATTGCACTGGCTTTATTCTTTGCCACTGAGAAAATATACTCCCTATTTTTTGTGAAAAGTATTCAGAAGAGATACCTCAAGAGTAATTCCAACCAGGATCATGTAAGAGTCTTTCTTCAGGCTTGCCTTGTGGCAATAAAAGTGGTAAAATATGCTTATTTCTCAGTCCTCTGTTGGCTGGCTGGCTGACTTGATCTCTCCTAGTTGGGAGGAACCAAGGAGATTCTTATACAGCAGGAGATTTTATTTTTTATTTATTTTATTGAATTTCTATACCGCCCTTCTCCTGAAGGACTCAGGGCGGTTTACAGCCAAAAATAAAACCATGACAATATAAAAATTAAAAGCAATTTAAAACAATTAAATAAATTGGCCAAAAAACTCTAATAAAACAACCCATTAAAATAGTAAAATGTTACTATTATTTAGGCCAGCCCTGCTTGTTGGAATAATAATGTTTTTAGGGCGCGACGAAAGGTACGAAGGTCGTGAATCCTACGAATCTCTGGGGGCAGCTCATTCCAGAGGGTAGGGGCCCCCACAGAGAATGCTCTCCGCCTGGGGGTCGTCAGCCGACATTGCCTAGCCAACGGCACCCGGAGGAGCCCCTCTCTGTGGGAGTGTACCAGTCGATGGGAGGCTATCGGTGGCAGAAGGCGGTCTCGTAAATAGCCAGGTCCCAAGCCATGGAGCGCTTTAAAGGTGGCAATCAACATCTTGAATCGCACCCGGAAGACCACCGGGAGCCAGTGCAGCTCGCGCAGGAGCAGTGTTACATGGGAGCATCGAGTCGCTCCCATAATTACCCGCGCAACTGCATTCTGGACCAGTTGGAGCCTCCGGGTGCTCTTCAAGGGGAGCCCCATGTAGAGAGCGTTACAATAGTCTAGACGGGAGGTGATGGCCCTTTTATGACTTGTGGACTTCAACTCCCAGCATGGCTGGCTCAGGAATTCTGGGAGTTGAAGTTCACAAGTCATAAAAGGGCCATGGTATAGCACCTCTGCTATACAGGATCATCAGGACGATTATTCTCAACATTTGATAGGGTGTTTTTCTAAAGTGGCTTACAAGTTAAAGCAAAATTACGTATAAAAGTCACAGATAGTATGTATAGTATTCTATAAATTTTTCATTACAAATGTACCAAATATTTATAATAATTAAATAAATGCAGTTAAAAATTTAATATAAAAAGTGAGTTTGGCAGATGTTCATTTTGTATGCTTGCTGCATAACTTTGCAAAACTTTCCACATAAAAATGTGTATTAAAAAGCTTTTTCCCCTCCCTAATACCTGTAAACACATCTTCCTAATATGGTACATATTTGGGCAAATTATTCTAAGTAGTGAACTGTAGTATCAAATGCAGAAAAATGCTAGTTCTATATCCAACTGCAATTGGACCCGCAAGCATAGATTTTAAAAGTTCTAATTCCTATTAAATATCATTTCTTTCTTCCATTCAAGGGATAAAGCCCTTTCTATATTAGCCTGAAATGTGATCAGAATCCTCTCTGACAATTATTATCATGAGTACAGCATCTATTTTGTACCTTTGTTCAATTAGTATAAAATTGTGGCAGGAAAACAAGTTATGTTGTTGTTATTTTAATTCTCTTGTTTTGTTTTTCTGCCTTAAGATTTTCACAGGTACTATGCCCTCCATCCCTCCCAATGTTGGCAGAGTTTGGATGAACTGAATAGCAGACATATGACGCATCACACATCACAGACAATACCTGACAAAAATCGTATGTCTTTACACCAATCATCTGGATATTCAGCACAATAAATCATGTAGTAACCTTGAAGGAAGCCATTATAGATGCAGAACAGTGCACCAAAAAACACTATCTTCAGTGGGAAAGGTCTGCCTCTTTGGAAGAATGAATAAATGAATGTCCTGAGCGACATAGGAAAGAAAGGAAAAGAAACAGAAAATCACATAAAAATTAATGTTAAACCTCAGATTTATAACACATTCAAGATCTCAAATAATCTTACATGTTGCCAAGTATTCTATTTTCAGTAGCACCAGTGGTGGGTTCCTCCCGGTTCGGTCCTCCCACCCCCCCATCCCTCCACGTTATTCTTACCTTTTATTTGGTCCCACCCCCAATCTATTGCTGCCTCCTGAGTCCCAGCTGATGACTAGAGGGAAAAAAACGGTTTAAACTCTTGCCGTGGGGCTTCAAAGGGCCGTCCTACAGCTGATCAGTGTTAAAAGCAAACAAATGAGTCGGGTCATAAGTGCGAGGACTGGTTGTAAGTGCGAGAACCTTCCAGAAATGACTCTGACCAGCTAACCACACCCACCTAGTCACATGACCTCCAAGCCACACCCACAAAATAAGCCACGCCCACAGAACTGGTAGTAAAAAAATTTAGAACCCACCCCTGAGTAACACCTTATAAATATTTACACTGCCACTTGGAGAGTGAGTCTCTGCTATCAGATGAAGTATACAGCAACCCAACCCCATCACAAAAATACCTAATAAAAGTAATCATACAAATAAGATGTTTGACACACTTTTTAAGCAGAGGGCATCATGTATGCAAAATAGTTTTCTCCTTTTCAGAAGCATCTGCTGCCAGAGTTAGATGTTTTATTTTGAGCACTGTGATCCAAAAGGATCATTGTGAATGGATTAAGTCAGGGCTTGGTACTTCTTTCTTGTTTAACATCTATATGATACCATCTCCATGCATGTCAATCTGATACTGTCTTTGTCTTCTCATGATGTCTGGATGCTGTAGGGATCTAGATTAAGGACAACAGACTTAGACTGAACCCAGGCAAGACTGAGTGGCTTTGGGTGCATGGAGCGTCAAGATCCAAGTGTTTGTCATCCTTGGCTCTGGATGGGTTTGCACTATCCTGTTCAGACCCAGTTTGCAACCTAGGGGTTCTTCTGGACTCAAGTCTCCTGCTTGAAGAGACAGGTGTGACCAGGAGAGCTTTTGCTTAGCTCTGGTTTGTGCACCAGTTGCGACCTTTCCTGGATCATGACTCCCTGTGCTCAGTTTTGGTCTCCACAATGTAAAAAAGATGTTGCGACTCTAAAAAGAGTGCAGAGAAAAGCCACAAAGATGATTAGAGGACTGGAGACTGAAACATAAAGAACTCTTGCTGGAATTGCGTATGTCTAATTTAATGAAAAGAAGGATTGGGGTGACATGATAGCAATGTTCCAATATCTCAGGCATTCCCACAAAGAAGAGGGAGTGAAGCTATTCTCCAAAGCACCTGAAGGCAGGACAAGAAGCAATGGGTGGAAACTAATAAAGGAGAGAAGCAATCTAGAACTAAGGAGAAATTTCCTGACAGAACAATTAATCAGTGGAACAACTTGCCTCCAGAAATTGTGAATGCTCCAACACTGGAAATTTTTAAGAAAAAAATGGACAACTATTTGTCTGAAATGGTATAGGTTTTCTGCCTGAGTAGGGGGTTGGACTAGAAGACCTCCAAGGTCCCTTCCAGCTATGTTATTCTGTATTCTTTTTTTTTATTATTAAAAAGTTTTAACAAATATTACAACAATTTTTCTCATCCCTCCTCCCCCCTTCCCTCCTCCTGTTTTTCCTTAACAAATATGCTAACCATCTCCCTGGTTTATTAGCATTGCAAAAAGTATTATGTTTAGCATATTGCAAATTAGTTGCGATTTGATCTGCCATTAACATATTAAATTGCCCTCGCAATAAGTTAATTGCCTCTTTTATTTTCTTGTCTACTGGGTTCAATATCAAAGCTTATTCTTTTTTTTAATTTCCTCTTCTAAGTCCCTCCTTTTTTTTTCCTGTTTACGTCTATGTTTATTATTCAAATATATCAAAATACCTCTCACATATGCTTTACTTGCATCCCAAACCATTTCCATAGATGTACCCTTATGGCTATTTATAATGAAAAATTCTCTCATAAATTTTTTACATTCTGTTACATTTTCCTCATATCTAAACAGATTTTCATTTAACCTCCAAGACCTCTTAGATCCCATTCCATACTCTAATTCCATCCAAACTGGACTATGATCTGTTAAAACTCTTGGGCAGATCTTCGTCTTCTTCACCCTAAAGAAAAGATCATTAGTAATTAATATAAAATCAATCCTAGAGAAAGATTGATGTCTATCAGAAAAAAAGGTAGTCTTTTTCTTCGGGGTTCCTCTCTCGCCAGATATCTCTCAACTCCATATCATCCATCATTTCAAAAAATGATTTTGGCAATCTGGAACGTGTTGAGATATTCTGCAAGAGCCCCTTCTTGTCTTTTTTAGTGTCCAAAACTCCATTCCAATCGCCCAGTAAGATACATGATTTATAATCCCATTGTAATAACTTGGAATGTAAAAGCTTATAAAATTTTTCCTGTTGTTGGTTTGGTGCATAGACTCCAATTAAAAGTATTTTTTCTCTTTTTATTAAAAGTTCAATTGCTATAAATCTTCCTTGATCATCTGCTTCAATTAATTTGGCAATTAAATCTTTTTTTAGGTATATAACTATACCATTCTTCTTCTCGGGAGCAGATGCAACAAAATGTATACCTAACCTTGTATTTATTAAGTATTTTTGATCTTTACTTCTAATATGAGTCTCTTGTAAACAAATTACATCATTTTTAAACTGTTTCAAATAATGAAATATTTTTCTCCTCTTTTGTGGTGAATTTAGGCCATTAACATTCCAAGTCAAAAATCTAGTTGCCATTCTTGGCCCCCTGAAGCTTTTGGAGCATCTGCTGGAAATCTCCATGCATTTTACTTTTTGGCTTTGTTCTTCCCACTGCTTCTGTTTTTGTAGTATCTTGAATCATTTGAATCATTTGCTGCACTCTTAATTCTTCTTGACACTTGGCTGCCGCTCGGGTCTGTCTTTGATCCTTTGATGGACAACTATTTGTCTGAAATGGTATAGGTTTTCTGCCTGAACAGGGGGTTGGACTAGAAGACCTCCAAGGTCCTTTCCAGCTATGTTATTCTGTATTTTGTATTCAGTTATTCAAGCCCTGGTCATCTTTTGCTTGGGCTACTACAATATGCTCTACTACATGGGACTACCTTTGAAATCCATTCAGAAGCTCCAGCTGGTGCAAAGTGCAGCAGTGAGAGCAGACTTTGGGGCCCCGAAGATGGTCCATATTACATCTCTTCTCCACTACCTTCACTTGCTACCGGTCTGCTTCTGAGAGCAGTTGAAGGTGTTGGCTATGATCTTTAGCTTACCTGATGAACTGCCTCATCCTGCTAGGAGAAGCCCAGTGGTGGGATTCAAGTAATTTAACAACCGGTTCTCTGCCCTAATGATTTCTTCCAACAACCAGTTTGCCAAACTGCTCAGAAAGTTAACAACCAGTTCTCCCAAAGTGGTGAGAACTGGCTGAATCCCACCACTGGAGAAGCTAATCCTATTTGTGCTGGCAGAGAGGGCCTACTTTGGATCTTGTCTGTCAAAGAACTCTGACTATATGAATTCAGAAGAGCCTTCTCTGCTGCAGCACCCTGCTTTGGAACATCATACCCTTTATTGTAAAATCTGTCCCCTCCCTCCTATCCTTCCATAAGAGTCTGAAGACCTGGCTCTACCAGTTTGGTCTAGGGATTAAATGGGTGTGGGAACCTACCCCCCCTAAGAGAATGAAATATTTTGGGATATTAAAAGGCAGATTATTATATTTCCACAAAAGAGAAATGGAGAAACTTGTTCTTAGAGGCAGAAAGCAGACCCAGTCTTTCTTAATGTGCTTATTCACAAACAGAACACCTTGATCTCCAGCGATAGGATTACAATTTACATCCTTCTCCACCCAGATTCTAAGAACAGGACATGACTTTAGGACATAATAGGATTAACCCACAAAAGACACAGAATTCACTGCATTGCCCAAATCCTAGGGGCATTTCAGACATTGCGCAACCCCCAGCAGTATCACAGAAACCTATAAAGATCCATCCACTCATTCAATCAGTTGGTCAGCTGCCCCGGAACCACATGTTGTTGGTGATTCTGCTCATCAATAAATGGAATCCTTCTTTTCAATCAGCCTCCATTTTATTTCCAGTGCCTCTCTCCTGGCTTGGAACTGAACCAGATGGATTTTTCTTCCAACATGGGGAAGGGGCTGCTAGATTGATGGCAGACTCCACCTCCCCCCTTGCTCTCTGCATTCATCCATCTTTTTAATAATAACCATACTGATGTATGTATTCTTGTTGTGTTCCTTTGTCATTGTTTACTTTATTGTTCTATTATTATACTTCTGTTTATACGCCTTTTCAATTTTCTTCCACAAAAATTGTAAGCCTTACTATTGGAAGCCTCCCAGAATAGCTCCATGGTGAGACAGGTGGCAAATAAAATATAATAATAATAATAATAATAATAATAATAATAATAATAATTATTATTATTATTATTATTATTTTAAAAAAATACTTCAATATAAGTATTGGCCCATGGTTTTACTCAACTAGAGAAAGATTAAAATCCTGAATTTTATTCTCTCTACATAGGACTATCGCCAGCAATTGCATTGTGTGAAGGTTGTTATTAAATAATACATATAGCATTTTTCTTTACAACTCTCTGAGCTTGCTTGTTTTTTTTCAGACCTTTCATTACCCTAAGTAGTGCTAGTAAGGAGTACAGTTTTCTGCCAGTTTATATTCTAGTGTCTTGCCGTATGTGTGGTGGAAACAGTCTTAGGGATTCTTTGTTTGGGCTGTTTACTAATGGCTCTTTGGCAGTTTTTTATTGGGGTATTGCTTACTTGATTGTTGGTCTGAAGTTGACCTTGGAGTTCATTTATACCTGTGATGGCGACCCTATGGCATGTGTGCCAGAGATGGCACACAGAGCCCTCTATGTGGGCATGCGTGCCATCGCCAACTGCTC